TTTTGCCTTCAACCACACAGAAAGTTCCTGAAAATGGACCTGAAGTGAATGAAGCCTTCCAGTGATCACCACTGGAGTCAAACAAGCCATTTTTGGGGCTGGCACAAATACAAGGATTCCATCAGATGCACAACATCCAGCGGGGCAATGTCTATCAGGGTTTGGTAACCTGAATGACTGAACTGCATTGCCCACCATCTTACTCTGTGGGTTTGTAACATTCTGATGTTTTTTCCAGGTTGAAGAAATGATTGCAGATATACGTGATGTTTTTATAAAAACCTTAGATGAACTTCCCTGGATGGATGCAGAGACCAAAAAGAGAGCAGAACAAAAAGTAAGTTTTGTCTGAAATATTGGTAATGTGTAGTTCAATATGAATTGGTATTTCAATTGTTTATCCTGACAAAAAATAAGCAGTAGCTTCTATCACTATATTATAATACAAACACATTTATAGCTGTGCTTATACAGGCACAGCAGCTTAGGATTCCATGGGAAGGAGCCTCCAGAGATAGGCACAAAAATGGGTAGAATCTTAATACAAGATTAAGACTTTTCAATAAGTGATTAACTTTCAAGTAAGTGATTAAGGAGCTGGATAATGAACATCTACAGGAAAACAATACTGAAAATGAAAATTATTTCTGCTTTTAGGAGGATTGGGATAAAACCCATAAACTTGTGCTTTCAATGAATAAAAAATGTGAACAAAACCTATATATAATTAACATCCTGCGGTTTCCGCAGTGGCTTCCATATTGTCTTTCTTATATAACTTATTATTTAAAAACATGACTGGATTTGCTATGGATATCAAATTCCCTTGTCCCTAGGCAACAGCAATTAGAGAGAGGATTGGTTATCCCGATGAGATTGTGACAGATGACAACAAGCTCAACAGTGAGTACCAGGAGGTAAGTTTGCACAAGAGGCAGGAGAATTAGAGAATTCAGAGAAGAAAATGTGCATTTGCTTTCCTTGCCCCACGTGCCCAGAACAGCCCCAGGTGTGCCCAGCTGCAGGGGAAGGGAGGAGGTGTGAGCAGCCAGCCTGGTAGGGCTGACCCAGCACGGGATGTGGCACACAGGTGTGACAGACTAACCCAGCACGGGATGTGGCACATCTGACCCAGCACAGGATGTGGCACACAGGTGTGACAGGCTGACCCAGCACAGGATGTGGCACACAGATGTGACAGGCTGACCCAGCATGGGATGTGGCACATCTGATGCAGCATGGGATGTGGCACACAGATGTGTCTGAGCTGGAACTGCTCCTCAGCAAACTGGCAGCCACTGGCTTGCAGCAGACATCTCCAGAGGTTGGGCCAACAATTGCTGAATCCCACTCAAAATATGTATAGAAAGAGAGAATGAAGAGCTCTGGAAAAAACACCCAGCTGCTAACATAGATCCAGCTACAATATCAACTCTGTGATGTAGCAGAGCTCTGCAAACCAAGGTCTAACTGTAGATCAAAAAATACTCTTAGAAATGTGTTGCATAGCTCATCATGCTTAAGACTAGATCCTCCTGATCCATGTGTCTTATCCCATACCAGTAACACCACCACTAACTTCTCTTCCCCTTTTCTTTTTAGTTGAACTACAAAGAAGAAGAATACTTTGAAAACATTATTCAAAATTTAGTATTTACCCAGAAGAAAAGGTTGAAAAAGCTTCGAGAAAAGGTGGACAAAGAGGAGTAAGTATTTAATATTACTATGTCTAGTCTTTTATCCAGTCATGTTT